GAGTCACTTAAAAGCATTGGAAACTCTCTGAGTGGGTGTGGCTTGTTTCCTAGCTGGGCAGTAGGGAGTTGGAGAACCCCCACCACCAACAGCTAAGGTCTTTTCCTTTAGGCTAGTCAATTCCTAAGAGAGCCTATCTCCAATGCCTGGGAGCAGCAGTGGAGACCACCAGCATTACTGGAGCCAAGTGGAGGAAGGAGACGAGGTGTCTTCATACTATGTAGCATTTCCTTTAACCCCACTGTGCTATATCCCCTAATTCCTCAAGTAAGCCCTGAGTCTAATCACTCTAGTTCACTCTCCAGCTCCAGTGGGAAGGATAGCTGGGACTCTAACTACATCATGGATGGACTTCAATCAACAATCCCATTTTAGCCTCACTTACACCTCACCTTTCATACTTGAGAGTGGTGTCTCCTATTCCAGGGCCTTTCTGGTAGTTTGTGATATAAAGCTGCCTACTTCTGGTTTCCCTCACTGCCAAACAGGCATTAGATTTTTTTGTTTTTGTTTTAATCATTTAGCAATTAGATGTCTGTCTTCCTTTTCCCAAGATGTTGTTTCATCTCTTTGTCCTTATGGAATCTATTCCTATATTAAAAAAAATTCCTCTTACTATATATTTAGTGGGTTTTGGGTGAAAGTGGGAGCATCTTTAATCCATCATATTTAATTCACTGCTTCCTGTATATTTTCATTAGTATTTACTTGCTCTCTTTCCTCCTGTATTTTCAAACTTTAAACCCGTCATTTTGTTTCAGGTGTCTCTTATAGTACTAAGAGCTATCATTCATTGAACACTATTTGTTAGGCACTTTACAAGTACTGTACATGTATTAGGGTACGAGTACCTATCTATGCATTATCTCACTTTATATGACAACACTTTGAAGTAGGTAGTACATACTATTGTTTCCCACTTTACATACTAAGTATGTTTGCAGGTTGGAAATCCAGAGCCTGTACTACTGTACTAATCACTGTAGTACTCACAATGCCACCTAGATTTTTTTAAATCCATTAATCTTTGTCCTATAATAGAGAAAATTCAACCCATCACATTTATTGGAATAAATGATGTGTATGAATGATTCTTATCATCTGTGGATAAATTTAATTATTACTACCAAACAGTCACTCTCTTTTCCATCTGGGAGATGGTTATACTTCCATACCCCTCTGCTGTTGGGTTTAGACATGCACTTTGGTTTAGCCAACTGAATGTAGGTGTCCTCTCTCTTTCCCCTCTGCCATGAACACAGGTTTGTCTCAGATAAGGGTGCTCCTTCATTCCAGGTCCCAGAATGAGAATATACATGAAACAGACACACAGCCTGAAGGGGAGCCATAGTCAAACCATGATCATCATGTAATGTGAATGGGGAAATAAATGTTTATTGTCATAAGCTGCTGAAATTTTTGAATTATTTGATATGTCATCTTTTACCTTCTAAATTCCATAAAAACTTGTCTTATTTCGCTGAAATACATTCTTGAATATTATCTAAGAGGTCTGATGGGATATAAACTTTCCTAATCTTTGAATGCCTAAAAATTTCTTTATTTTGACCTCCCACTTGAATGTTAGTTTGTCAGGGTATAACATTTTAAGTTTGAAGTAATTTTCACTTACAATTTTGAAGTTATTATTTTTTTTATTTCTCTCCTTGTGTCTGTTGTTTCTAACACTGACCTGGACATCATTCCTTTCTAGATAACCTGTTTTAATCTTCTGGAAGTTTTAGGAATTTCTCTTTATCTTTGGGGCTTTAAAATTTTAAGGTGACATTCCTGGATTATTTTTTCTTTTTTTCTTGCTCAACAAACAGAGGACTTAAATCTGAAAGTTCCTACTTTTCATCAGTTCTGGGAAATATTCTTCAGTTACTTATTTGGGTATTTCTTCCCTTCATCAGTCTTTTACCCTTAGGAATCCTGTAGAAAAAATGTTCAATTCTGTCTTCCATGTCTTGTATTTTCTATTTCATAATTGATATTTGTCATGACTTTATCCTTTAGTCATGAGGAAGAACTTCTTGGGTTGTTCTTACACTTTAAGCTGAACCTATTCTATGTGCCCAATTATTTTTAATATAAATCACTAATAGGTATAGAAGCCAGAATTCAAATCCAGAGCCTGTGCTAGGAACTACTACAATACTAGTAAAATGATATAAAGGCTTTTTTCTTTGTTAATAAAGAAATTTTAACCCAGTTACACTTATTGGGATAATTAATATGTATGAATGTACTCTCACCATCTTGGTTTAAGGATGTGAACACTTAAAACATTTCTCTGAGGATCTCTCCTTTAAAGTACTTTTTTCCTTTTCTCTATTAAGGTCATTTACTTGGGGTTTATTTTTTTCAATGTGATGAATTTGTGTTGCTTTTCCACAAGTACTAGGCTAATGTTAGTTTTCAGTGTTCATATTTGAGGGAATTCCCTCTTCCCCTGTCATTGAATGTTTTGATTACAATAGTCTGCCTCCTGATTGCGGAGAAGGTTCAGGATTTGGGATTTGGATGGTGGGAAGCTTGTCTTCCAGGTCTCCCTGCCTGCTGTAGTTTGTTAGTTCCCTGGAGCCCTAGCCTCATTACCTCTTTTGCCGGTCTGCTGTGCCAAACTTCACTCCTAGGGAAGAATGCTCCCAGGGGAAGGATTCTTGCACTTTGGAAGCAAACACTGAGTCTGCACTCCATCTCTTTATTCTGTCCTTCAATTTCCTTGTGGAGGTCTGCTGGGACTTAAGAGTCTACTTCTATCTTTCTTTAACCTCAGCATAACAAATATTTTTTTTGATAGCAGTTCTAAGGGTTATATGGGGACACATGCTGCTGTCACCACTGGATATGCCCAATGAAAGTGGAAGGCAAACGACTGCTCCACACATAGTTATTTAACCAACTGCCCTGACAATTGCTCAAAATCCAGGCCTATTCTTTGAAATAATTTATGCCGTGTGTGGAGAAACTTTAGAATTCCTTTTGTGACCCCGAATCTTAAACAGCACTTACCTGTTCTGGTTTTGCCACCAATGATGTCCTATATACTCTTTGTTTTCTAGGAATTCCTAAAATTTCTGAATCATGGACTTTTTTTAATTTATTTTTTTTGTGGTGATGGTGTTTTTCTGTTTCAGTTATTTCTTTAATGGAGAGACATATAAAACATGTCAGTTATTCAGTTAGCCAACTTGATTCTGTACTCACCATCTCATTTTAAAAACATATTCCTTGTTTCAAAAACAAAGTAAGTAGGGAAAGGAAAAGAGGGTACATTTGTGGGTAACTTGCTTCCTCACAGCCACTCCCAACAGGCTTAACTGAAGAAACTTAATCATTAGTCTCATGGTCCACACTGAGTGGAGACTGATGCTTGGCCAGATCAGTAACAACCTTCTTAATTTCTGGTGCATTCTCCTTTTTCTCTTGACCTTTTCACTTGCTCTCTTCCCTCAACCCAACTTTCACTTAACTTGAATGCTCACATTTATCAAGTAGTCTGCTTTCTCCTATATAGAAAATCAACTAAGACACTAATTTGCATTAAAATGGTAAGAACTTAACATGTATTTCCTCTCAGCAATATGTGTTTTTGGAAAATGATGAAGGAAGGAAAGCAATACTCACCCCAAGAGGTTGCTATGGATTGAATGTTTTTGCCCTCCCCAAATTTATAGGTTGAATTCCTAATGCTCAGTGTGATACCTTTGGGAGGCAATTAGGTCATGAGGGTGGAACTCTCATGAATAGGATTAGCGTCTTTACAAAAGATACTAGAGAGCTTGTTTCTGTTCTCTCTGCTCTTTCTGACTTGCAGATACAATGAGAAATCAGCAGTCTACAGCCTAGAAGAAGCCCTCATTAGAACCTGACTATGCTGGCACCCTGATCTGACTTCCAGTCCCCAGAACTGTATGAAATAAATTTCTGTGGTTATAAGCTACCCAGTCCATGGTATTTGGTTATAGCAGCCTCAGTAAGGCAGGGTGAATAGGTAATGGTGGAACTTCAGATATTGCAGAGGGAGAGGTCTTCAATCAATTTTCAGACCACTGTCATGTTGTCTACTCATAAAGATAGCCCTGCCTTCTACAAATGAGACCTCCTAACTACCCTGATCAAGTCTGCTTTGTGAACTGTCATTTATTTCCTCCCCTTAGTCCTTTATAGTACAATATGAAAATGCTTACTATTACTGTTTTGAGCAAAAAGTCAGTGGATATCTGTTGGTAGTGGCCTGTGGGGTAGTCACAAATGGACACATTTGGGAGTGTGGAGGGCACAGCGGGAGGGTGTTCCAGGGAGGGATTTAACTTTTACTTCAATATCTTCTGAACATTCTCCAGAAGTGGCACAAAGACAACACAAGTGTCTGAAGCCCTGCTCCCTGCTCTTGTGATCTGTCATTGCAGGAATTTTCCTGAAGGGAATAATCCCCTCTGTGCACCTGCAGCTGGGAGGATAAATCCACCCTGACATGGTAACCTATCAAGCAGTGTGAGCTCACTGGGGAATGCATTTTAAATAGGTTAATTATTTCTGATAATCCCCCCAATTATTGGATCTCCCCTTACATTGGCTGGTAATATCTTAATATCTTGTGCAGATTCTGTACCTTTCTTGCCACTTAGGGGTTTTTAATAACTCCTTTCATTTTCATTTGATTACTTTGGTGAGCTTGCTACAGAACTCTAGTCTACCCTCCCCAATTTGAGGTTCTGTCTACTTTACTATTTTGTTTCCTATGAAACACAGCAGTGTTAATTAGTTCATATGTCCTACTCTAAAGTGTACACTATGATGGATTTCTACATTTATATACAACCCACCAGCCAGATTGAGTTATGGAACACGAGCCATGACTTGCTAACCTAGTCAACATGATATAAAATGAAAGAAAGTTGCAGAATTCCTCCACAGTTTAGAATTAGAAAAGTCAGGATAACAGATTGGCTATAAACAGATTTATTATCTTCGCATGCTTTTTCTGGAGCCACCTATGTAGAAATATGCTGAAAAGATATTTTCAATGTTTTATTATATTCAAATGTGCATATAATGAAGCATGTTTTATTGCATGCAAATTAAAACATAAAATATTAAAGCCTCTGTGTTAGCCACACTTTATTACTCACTCCCCCATCAGAGTCAGTTTCAGGGGTCAATGTGCTATTCTCTCCTGGGTTTGGGCCATGGATGCTTCAGACACACAGAGTCACCAAAACCCAAACAGCAGTCAAGTCCCTGTAGAGCTACAGCTACAACTCACTTCCTTTACAAACTGTCTCATGCTTCCTTCCTGCCCCACTTTAATACTGTGTAAGAGAAGCAGGTATTTGGTGAAGTTCAAATTTTGTGTGTATGTATGACATATTAAACACATCTGAAATGAACAGGCAAACCTGGGACTACTCTCTAAGCTCTTGTTTTTCTTCCTCTTTAGTGAGTTTAAGTACATATCACATACAGTGATCCTTGGCTTTCTTGTTTCAACATTCCAGCATGGTGCATAGAATCAGTCCTGGGGTTCATCCTATTTTGCCTTTGTTCAGGCCAACAAACTGGGCATTGTCTTTGCACAGTCAGTCAGAGTTCTAAATAGTTGTCAAGAATGTGTAACCAGACATGTAATTGCCCAAAGTGCCCTTTTTCAGGCCCCATTTTAACTAAGTGCATTCCCTTCATTTCTCACGTTTGCCAGGCTTGCTGGTTTCTCAAGATCTCAAGCTCAAAGGCTCAGGACCATCTGTCTGGGACAGCACCTATTATGTGGCTGGAATTCGGCAAATGTTGAAAAATAATGATAATAACTTGTAGAGCAAGTTCAAGGGGTCCTTAATATAAGGCCAAGTATTTCCACTTGTTGAGTGGCAGAATCTTTGACATAGAGGCTTTTTTTTTCTTGGGGAGAGGCAGCTTGATGCGGGAGAGTAGAATAAGCAGACATTGCTTGCGCTGCTCTGCAGAGGGTGGCATTATTTTAAGTAAGGCGCTTACATTGCCTAAATTTAACCATCATCCTCTGCAAAGTGCCAATGGTCATAAAGCTGCATCATTCAAGGCTGTGATAAAGACCAGAGGAAGCAGTGGGCAGAAAAAACCTCCATAAACTAGTAAATGTCCTGCCATTTTCCCACTGCCTCACTTACTTTAGTGGTCCGTACTTCTCAGGGACCACTAAATTCACAGTCGTGAGCTGGGCAGGCAGTGCAGAGGCCTGCTGAAACATCCTCTGTCCCAGCCTTTCTCTGGTGGATCAAACGTCCTTCCTGGAACCCACTGGGAGCCATGGGGTGACTACCCATAAGGTATGTCTTGAAAAACAAAGGATGATCTACATTCTCCATGGTATCTCCCTCAAGAGGCTATATGAAAACTTGAAATACACACCTCTCAACTACCCCCACTCATAATTCGACAGAGCCTTTTTGGAGGGAGTTCGACAAAATATACCAAGAACCTTATAGATGTTCATGGTTTTGCAGTTCTATGTCTAGGAACTTCTCTTAAGGAAATCATTACTAGCAGAGGTGGTATTTAAAACCACGATTAATTAGAAACTTTCTAACTACCCAACACCACAGGAATTACATTATAGTCAATATGGCCATTAACAGTAGGTTGTAACAGGGTATTTAATGATGTGGAAATGTTTATAATATATGGAGTGAAAAGAAGGTCACCTAATGGTACAATTCTGATTACATTAAAAAATACAAACACACACACACACACACACATGCTTAGAAAAAAGACAAAGGAAATATATTAAGTGTTAATGATTGTTCTTAAGGATTATAGGTAAATTTTATTCTTATTTATACTTCTCTGTATTTTCTTCAGTGAATATGTGTTTTATTTATAATCAGAAGAATGTAATTTTTTTTAAGTCTCTCTTTTGTGTTAGGGAAATCAGACCTTCCAAGACTTGGTTAAAATGCCTAAGTTACCTAAAACTTACTGGTCAAAACATAAGTTGTCCACATGACTCTGATTTTTAATCCTGGATTTGCTACTAAAGGGGCAATCAAGGCCAAATTATTTAATGTCTCTAAGTCTTGGCTTTCTCATCTGTGAAACTGGGATAACAGAAGTGCTTGCTGCCTGGGGCTGTGTGAGGGTGAAATGGAATAGTGCAAGCAGAGCACCTGGTAGAATGCCTGGCACATTGTGACACCCAGTAACGGGGGCAACTAGCAATAGTAGCTGTGCTGGGAGCTACCACAGTATGCTGCAAACCACCCATGCCACATCAGCACAGGTGGTTTGTAATTTGCAGAGAAGAGGAGTTGGAGTGAGAGAGGTTGAGGACCCAGATCCAGAGCTGGTGGGGTCTGCCCGGCCCACAGTCCTCTGTCCTGAGTGGGTAAAAGTGGTATTATTTTGTACCCTAACACAATTCCTGTCAGGAAAAACTGCCGCTCTTTTAACTTCTCTAACATAAAATGTTCAGAAGAGCCAAACACCAGCTGCTGGGAGAACAACAAATTCTAATTTCCTGACTTGTGTGTGGCAAAGTTTCATTGTACTGACATAGCTGTGAATTTAATTTCCTTAGCTTTTGAGACACAAACAAAGCATTCCTAACAAGAAAATGGAAATAAAAGGGAATAACTGCATGATGGAATCCACATGCTGATTTGAAGATGTCAATGAGGGCTTCATAAATACTCATTAAAATAAATGCACACACGTTAACAAGTGAAACAAATATTTTTGCTTCCAAAAGCATGCAGCAGCAATACAGTCATGTACAGAAAATATACAGAAAGTCACCCTTGTTTTATCCATGCCACACTATATTCCCTTACATGTATTTTTATATCAAGCAATTCTATCAAACTTAGCAAAATATCACATTCTTTCAAAATATTAAATAAATATGCGTAAATTTCAATTAAAAAAAGTGAAACTATTTCCAGCAATGCAGTGGGAAAAGGTCACAAAAAGTACTTCAAAGCCAGTAAGACACTATTTTAACATTTAGCTAATTCACAAATATGCCAACCAAATTAGAGATAACTCACTGCTGAAAAAATATTCCCTCTGGCCTTACAACAAGTAGAAATAATTTCTACTGGTACCCATTTCTACTTTAGTTTTCTTCCTTCTTTTTTCCCTATCATCTGTTATATATTTATAAAAAGGTCTAAGAAATTTTTTACAATCTATCTTAAAGATAATTCTTCATAGTGATTTTCAAACTGAAGTCATTCATTACAAAGTCAGCCTATTTGAAAATTATGGTGTAAATGAAAGCAACTTGTAGTTAATGGTAAGGAGAGTTTTGTGTGATTTTTAATTTTGATAGGTTTAACCAGTGCTACAGACTCAGTATGTGCCTAATAATTACATGTTAGGTAACAAGAGAGGTGGCAAGACAGAAGGTGAGGGAGCCATAGCAAAACTATCAAAACTACCACTTACTTTCCTTAACTATCCATGTGCTAAGTTGTGGAAACGACTACATTAGGGTAAGAAAGAATAATGGTCTTCAACTTCTTTAAGAAATGTAAGTAATTGTTAAATTAGTGTTACAGGTTGACTTATGTTCTCCCCTAAAAACGATGTGTTGAATTTCTAACCCCCAGTACCTCAGAATGTGTCCTTACTTGGAAGTAGGGTTGCTGTGGGTATAATTAGTTAAGATGTAATCACACTGGGGAGGTTGGGACCTTAACCCAACAATGACTGGTGTCCCTAAAGAAGACAGTCTTGTGCAGAGACAGACAGACACATAGGAGAACGCCATGTGATCAGAGTCTGCAGCTGTTAGCCTGGATCAGCCAGTACACAGCAACTACCAGAAGCCAGGCAGGGGCGAGGAGGACTGACTCCCCTACAAGCTTCAGAGGGAGCATGGTTCTGCTGACATCCTGACTTCAGATTTCTGGCCTCCAGACCTATGAGACAATACATTTCTGTTTACCACCAGTTGGTGCTACTTAGGGCAGCCCTAGGAAATGAATACAATTACTTTATTTCATTTTATTTTTAAATTTAAGTTTATATATTTTATATCATAAAATACGACACGCTCACCAGGAAATCTATAGAACCACATGTCTTGAAGGAAGGGAAAAAATATCGCTCCGAGTTTTGTTAGCCAAAAATGACTAAAATTTGAGGTATTTCAATTTTTCTGGTGAATTGTTCTGAAATTTTATGTAGCTATGACTATAATCCCATAGCAATTTTGTATAGTGGTATTTTCAATTAACATTACAACATACATTTCTATATTATTACAAACTTTTTGTAACCATCTTTAAAATTTTGCAACACGCTCAGTGTTGCCCAGATTATTGTCCCACAAGTCTGTTTTAGAATTCTATTGTTTTCATTATTTCAGTCACTCTTTTAGTCTGATTCCGAGGAATTAAAAATGTTTCTGATTGTCGTGACAATTTTATGTAAAATGTGCTGTGTGAGAAACAGAAGGCAGGTTAGTTAGTATGAAACAGGCCATCAAATAGACCCCAATGACACTTTAATAGCAATGGGGACACAGCTCATCCTCAGAGCCTTGCATGAGATGCAGCATGACAGTGAAGCATTTGGTAATGAATGAGCCAGCAGTTATTGAATACTTGGTCTCATGACACCAGGCTGGGTGACCTAATAACCACTGTGACAGTGTAGATTCTGCTAGAACCGAATCATGAACCCAGATTTCCTGATTCCCACTCCTGCATCATTTCTGCCTCTCTTCTCAGGTTGTGGCAATGATGAAAAAAGGCCTAAAGTGCTGCTTAGTTTTGAACTCAGCCTAAATTTATCTAACAGATGCTCTGTCATGTGATTATAGAAATCTGGGTTCTCTGTAGCTTATGATTTGCAAACTTTTCTTAACAGTGGATGTCTTGTTTTTAATAAACAATTGCCCCAATTCCCAGTTTATAAAACATATAAAAGCAGAACTTGTGTGGTGGAAAGAGGGAGGGCCAGGCAGTGAGCTCAGTGGTCTTATTAATTCCTTATAGAACTCCAGGAAGCCCCTAAACCATCTCCAGGGAACCCTAGGGCCTTGAGGAACAGTTTCTAAAACAGAACACCTACTCTAGTTCTTCACTCTGTGAATAGAATGGCCATGCTGAAAGGGGCTTTCTTAAAGTTTGATGTGTATAAGGAATTAATGGTTATGAAAAATAGCTTTTCAATTTTTTCTGACTTCTTATCTGAGTGATTGCCTTGTTCCCAGTTCCTGGAAATTTCAAAATGGGTGGTGACATATATAGGTTGGCTTATGTTGAGTCCATTCCCAGATCATCCCCTCTTCAATTCCTCTTGCTATCTCCTGGCATCCCAGCTTTCCTGCATTTTCTCCTCTCTATGTAACTAAAGAGCTAAGCTGTGATTCTGAAGATCATTTCTGTGTAGCACTTCTCCACAAGTACTATTTTATATCTGAATACATTTTTTACAAACAAGGCAGTGAATAGTGCTAAGTTCTAATGCAATCCTGTGAGAATAAGTGGTGCTTCCTTCTGAGCTGCATTTCCAGGAGTGATAAAGTCTGTATTCTGACCTGGATATACTTTTTTGCCCAACTCTTCCCCTTCCCCAGCACCTCCCCACTCCTCAACTCCTAACTAACCTTGAGGAGCTGTTTGTGGCCAAGAATTAGAACAAATCCAGGAGATTCATGTCAGTTATGATTAGCCTCCTGACCTGGTCCTGACTCTTATTTTCTAAATTAGATGGCCACCAAATATAGAATATAGACATGGACAAGAAGATGAAGATAATTATGTTTATTTAAAAGAACAGGAAAGGCCTCCAATTTTTAAATCCTAAATATGGCATTTATAGTTCATAGTTTATCATTAGTCAGCACTTACTCTTTTATTATAGAGCATATTTGAGAAGGTTTTGAGATTGGAATCACTCTAATTAACTGAGAATGGCAAATCAATAGGACAGGAGAGCTTGCAGGATCACTAATGGAGGTTTGTGGCTCATTCCTTTTTAAAGGGATAAACTTGATTATAATTGAACTCCTCTTCCATGGGGGCTCAGATGCATACTGGCCAGGATCTGATGCATTATCCTCAGACTCATGATTCTATTTCAGTTGTGACATATTAAATGGCTGAGCCTAAGAGAGGCCCACTGGTTTGGTCACTTCCTGAGATTTAGCTGCACAAGCTCAGGACACAAATATGTTATCAAGGACAAATAAACTTAAGTTACCTCTTCAGCTAGCAGGTCTACCTGGGCCTTGCGTGGCAGAGCCTGACTCCCCTCACCCAACTGCCTATCAAAACACCTGACAACCATGTAATGTTCCCAGCCATCTTCTCCCAACCCCTTCCTATGGGTCCCATCTTGATTTCTAAAGCTAGGGCTACTTCTGACCTCATTTTTGAGGACCTTGAGAATTCTGCAGATAAAGGATTTCTCACAGCTGAACTTGATTTAAGCAATCCTGATACATAAAATATAAATTAACAGAAAGGATGAGGTAAGGGACTGTAATTCCTTTTATAAAAGATTTCAAATAATTCTACAAATAGCAAGTTCCTCTGCATTTAAAATACTATTCTGTTTTAAAAAAAATATGTATAAGAACCTTTTTCCTGGACACAGGCACACATAAAGTGAAGTAAGTACATTTTCTCATTTTCCAGCCAGCTAGGTTCATCTAGCTCAGCTGCCCACAGAGATAAGCAGCTCATCAACACACAACTCACTGGCTCCTCTCTTTCCATGTCTCGTTTTCCCTTCTCCTTCCCTCACGCTTTCTGGGTCATCTCTCAAAGAAGCTATCTGTCCCAAAGCCGTGTTGCAGGATCTCCTCCTGGGGATCTGACCTAAGACAAACTTCGCCACACAGAAGAGCAACAGCCACAGCTCTGGTGGCTGAGGTGGGATGCGTGTCCTGCCTCGGGTCCGCCTTGTCTTTTGCTGCCCTCTGGCTTGGTGTTGGCATCGCACGCCTTCTATCTTGTGCCTAGAACAGTTGCTTCCTTTTAAATCAACAGTACACCAGTTAACTCTCTCTACCAGTGCTCCAAGATGGCCTTTAAAGGGCTGAGTTTTGCTGTTGCATCGACAGCACTCCACATGTTCCCTTAGCTTCCATTGCCACGTCAACCCTCGTCCACTCGGCTAAGTGGAATGAGCAGTTTTAGGGCTGAGCCAGGGTTCTATGAATCAGAATCTCTAAGGTCCCAAGAGAGCCTTTCCATCATTTCCATCCAATCCCTTAATCTCACGTTAGAAAACTGAGGGGCAGAGAAGGTAAGCATGTGCTCAACACCTTGTCCCTCAGAGAATAAGAACTCAGATCTCTGACCCCTACACTGTGCTTCTCCTTTTCTGAGCTTTTCCTGAACACATCCCCCCATTGTTTCCTTTGTTTGACTTCATTCCCCTTGCTCATCACTACTTCTATCATTTATTGCCATTGACTTAAGTCCTCAATGACTGAGCCCTGAAGTTACATTCGTGCGGTTTGGTTTCACAGCTCTAATGCCCTCCTTGCCCTAGCCTATTCTGAGGTTGAAAATCAATTTCCACCAGTATTTCTGCAACAAAGAAATACATAGGAAATAAGTAAAGTGAGGTACAGGGGGTTGTCACTGTCAACCTCTTGCATAATTAAGCTCCCCCTGGAATTTCTGTGACTGGGTGTGAGATGATTGCCAGTCTGGACCACTGTGTCCTGGGAAGGTGCACATGCATATCAATGACCTGCTGAGTTTAAGAGCATCTCGCCTGTCATTGGAGCCTTTGAAATCCAAGGCTAGGCTGTTTCTCCCTTGACTAGATGGATAATCTGGGTTGTTTTTAGCCCCTAGGTAGCTCATGCCTCAGTTTTGCTTTCAGTTCTCTCTCACCCATCTAGCTTTCTCTCTCAGGCCTCTCTGAATGGAGTCCTCTGGCCCAGTGTGGCCAGTTTCTTCATTCTGTCATTCTTCATTCTTTTCATTCTTTGTCCAAGCAAGTTATTTTTTCCTTCAGCCCAAAACGTGGAATTGTCCTTATTTTTCAAATTATTATCTTGATTATCTTTCTTGGTGGATTTGTGTTCTCAAATAGATTTCTGAGGACAAAGACCCTGACTTAAGTCTACTTCCTGGCATCACGTATTACACATGGCTTTTTAAGGGACTGTTTGTGTCCCCCAAATGTCAAAACTCTAAGCCACACTCTAAGCCTCAATGTGGTTGTATATGGAGATGGGCCTCTAAGGAAACAATTTAGGTTAAATTCATAAGGTCACAAATGTGGTGCAGTGGTCCAATAGGTGGACTTTCTTATAAGTGTCCTTATAAGAAGAGGTGCCTACGAGCTTGTTCTTTCTCTGTGCATACAGAAGGAAGGTGTCTGTCTATGAGCCAGGGAGAGCCAGAGAGCTCTCACCAAAACCGCTAGCTGGAACCTTGGTCTTGGACTTCTGGCTTCTAGCTGTGAGAAAATAAATTTCTATTATTTATGCCACCCAGTGTATGGTATTTTGTTATGGCAGCCTAAGATAATACAAGACTGATGACTGAGAAAATGGCCCAACTTAAGGAGCTTGAGAAGTTACAAGCTGGGCAGGTGAATACGGCTTCTGGTGAAAAGTTAGCTAACTCTGCACAGAGTCCAAAACTAAATCTTCTTTTGACACCACCTCTCAGCAGCGACCATCTTTTCCTTTTACTGACACATCCTCCCAGGTATGAACAAGGACCTGGACCACAAGCAAACCTTTTACTCCCTTGTCTACACTACCTGGTATCCCATCAGAGACCAAGTTCTAGGAGAGTCTACTGGGCCAAGACCTCTTGGATCTCCTTTCTCAGGTCTTATTATGCGGCCTGTGCTCTGAGATCAACTAGGTTCAAAGCCAGTGCAATTTTGTCCCCAATCCAGGATGCTTTCCACTAGACCTTTTAGTGCTCTTTCCATCTAGCTAGAATTTATGGTGTTCTGCCTTTAACTATAGCTGTCTATGAAAATGTCTTATACCCATTATCAGAAGGGAAGCTCTTTGATGGTAGGCTATCTTAATGTTCTTTATATCTAGTGGCTATACCAGTGACTCGCCTTGGGCAGGCACTTCAAGAAAAGGTACTGAATTGAAAGTGGGAAATAACTGTCACATGGTGATATGGAAAATAGCAGCTTGGGCAAAGATTTAGAGAAAGCTTGTAGGAGGACGAGATGATCTCTTAAGTTGACGGAGAGAAAATGTGGCTACTGCAGAGAAGGAGGGGGTGGTCTGCAGTGGGCTTCAATATTATGAATTAAGAGTTGAGGCTGTGCGCCTGTGGAGGGAGGCTGGCCTGCTGGCCCTGGTGTTTCTGCATCACGGTCAGCTGTGCACATCAAGCAATCACTTAACTCCTTAAATGTTCGTTTCCAATGTGCAAAGTGGGAAAAACAAGAGTACCTACCGTTTGCGGCTCATGTGAAGAATGAGATAACATATGTAAAGAATTTAGCACATTATCTGGACCCAACATGTGTTATCTGCTGTTATTAGTAAACATTACTAAACTATTATTACTAGTTATGTGGTCTGAAAGCTCACCTGAGTACCAGTTTAGCTCTCTTAAATTATTGTATCATGTAGTTTTCTGTAAATTATTTAATTTACACTCAGAGATAATGCCATTGCTGCTGATAGATTAAATAACAAAGTAATTTAAAAGCTCTACTAAGTTCATAAGAACACTTTAGTTACTATGACTCTTCTCTCATCAATGAATTCAGGAGTTCATGAATATATTCGTCTTACAAGAGATTCTCATAGCAGAAATTAAAGTGTTGGGAGACCAGGAGAATGCTAAACATACCCTGGGTAGAAGACTAACTTGGCTACATCAGAGACTTCCTGTGGATAAAATGAAGGTTCCTGTGGCCACGATTCTCACCTGGCCCTGGTTGGCTAGGCAATACTATATATAAAAAGAGCGCCGCCCAGTGCTCTAGACAACAAGGTGGCACAGCTGCAAGGCTGCAGGAGAGCAGAGCAGAGGCTGGAGTGGTGGCAGCGCCAAGGACAGAGACTGGGACGGATGTGTGGGCAAAGGCCCAGAGGCAGAGACTGGCTTGCTGCATGAGGACTCGCTCTGAGTGAACGGGATTTTAGTGATTGACCAGCCACCGTGGGAATAAAGTTGGGTAATAACCTTTTGACTCTAAGAGTGTTCCACTGTCATTTCCTCGGTTTCATTGAATCCATTGAGAACTTGCCTGGGGCTGAAACCCACTGGCAAGACACTTGGATTTTGGGAAAAGGCTGGCCTAGTGAGCCTATTTCCACTTCCAGGGTATGCTTTTAAGGAATTTGGGCACATTCCTTATCAGGGCTTTGTTTTCCTCTTCTTAAAGGGAGGATAAAATACTCCAGGGTTACAGCAGGGATTAAAGTGGATACTCTTACATAAAGCAAGAAGTGGTAGATAATGATAATGGGCATTGTGATGTCTAATTATGAAAGGCTTTGGATAAGGACTTGTCAGAAATTCAAATTCTCAGGCCATCCCAGACCTGCTGAATCAGAAACTTTGGGGGCTGGGTCAGCAATCAGTGCTTTTACAAACCTTCCCGGTGATTCGCACTTCGTTTTAAGAACCTGCTGTGAGGTAATAGGGAGCCATTGAAAGGTTTTGTACAGTGAAGTAATAATACAAAGTATTGCTGTGCACAGACACTATTCTCGTTTAACAGTATTCAATTGCCTAACTACTGACAAGCTTCCAAAGTTGCTGGAAGAAACCTAAACAGGTTGACTAGTCTTTAATGATTTCAGGCACAAAATTTGGGTTTAGTACTCAGTGCCCAACACAGTGCTCACCTACTGAATGAAGTGAGGAACTCGGGCACAAGGCAATTTGAGGAGCTGTTTTGGATTCTGTTTCTGCTGAAAGTCTTGGGTCCAGGCAGCCTGAGTGATGCTCAAATTTCGCCTGGAAAAGAGGAGAAAGGAAAAGAAAACCATGTAGGGAAACCGGAAATGAGGGGCTTAAGGATTCAGAATCTGGAGGTGGGGGAAGGGGCTGGGGATCAGTGGGGTGAGAAAAAGGGGGAACCCTGCTCTGCGTGCATGCAGCTCTCGGCGTCCCATTGGAGCCCAGGCACGGCGGGACGCGGCCTCTCCTTGCGAGGAAGGTCCGTGCGCCTCTGGGCCCAGCGCAATTTTCCTTCCTTTATTGTTGGTGCGAGGCGGGCACGTTTGCTCACCCCAGCACCTGGCCGGAGGACCCCGGGCCGTCTCCGAGGGCGCGGGGCGGGGCGGCTGCCCACCGCCCGGCCATTGTTCGCGCCCCACCCCTGATGAATATTCACACCGCGCGGGCGACTCGCCCCGCGCCCTCCCCGGCGGGTCTTCGGGTGTGAGTGCGTTTCCGCTCGTTTTTCCTGGCGGAGAAGGAGAGGGGGAGCTGTTTTCTCCCTCAGAATATATTTTTGGTGTCCCGTTTCTCCTCCTCCCTCGCCGCCGCCGCCCCTCCCTCGCCGCTGCCTCCGCCTCCGCCTCCCGGGTTATCTTTGTCTGGCTGCCTCGCGCTCACTCGCTCAACTCTCGGCGGCGCCGCGGCCCCACGCTCCGGGCCCGTCCTCGAGGCGCGCGGCGCGGGGCGCGGGCGCCGGGGCCTGAGGCGGCGGGCGACGCCCGGGGACCTGACGGCCGCCCCGCGCCATGGTGTGAGCGCCGCCGCCGCCGCCCCGCGCACGCTCCGTCCGCCCTCCGCGCGCGGCCGGGACCGGCCGACAGCCGCCCGCCGCCGTCCCCGGTCTCGCCAGGCGGAGTCCGGACCGCCCGGTCCCCGTGCGAGGAGGCGCCGTCGGCTGCCTTGCCGGAGACTGCACCCAGTAGAGCAGCAGCTCGCTTTGTTGTTACCGCCGCTTTTGGTGGCAAAAAGGGAAAATGGCGAACGACTCTCCTGCAAAAAGTCTGGTGGACATCGACCTCTCCTCCTTGCGGGTGAGTGGCCGCCCCGGGCCCGCCACGGGCGTGCGGGGTGCGGGGAGCTGGGGCCGCGCCCGGGTCCGCCGGGCGCTCGGGCGCCACCGCGGGCAGAGCCGCGGGCGCGGCGGCCTCTTTGTCTGCCGGCGTCGGCCTGTGCGGGGACGCGGGGCGCGACCCTCCGCCGTCCCCCGCGCGCCCCCCGGGCCGCCGGCCTCCGTGCGCCCCGGGCCCCGAACCCTTGGCGGGGCCCTCGGGCGCTGGGGACGGCATTGGGCGCAGCCCACCGCCCCTGTAACCGCCCTTTCTCTCCAGCCTCCCCGCTTATTCATTGTTGTGCTGCTTTCAAATGATAACCCCTCCCCTCCTTCTTCTCTAGGATCCGGCTGGGATTTTTGAGCTGGTGGAAGTGGTTGGAAATGGCACCTATGGACAAGTCTATAAGGTCGGTGTGGGGCGCCTTTGTTTCCCGTGGCCTGTTGGAACTTCTTGTAGGGGACGAGGAAAAGGGTGATAAACACGCTGCTGACTGGAGGCTACGACACTTGGCCAAAGTTGGGAAGGGGGTGTCGCCTTGCAGTCCCTCTGTTTTTAAACAGAGTTTATATTCAGACTGGCCTTAAAAGACCTCATTTCCTGGCTTTGAGATAAGGAAATAAGCTACACTCTTAGGCGTGCACTTTTCTTCAATCAAATGAGAAAGCATTTTTTCATAAGACAACCTTCATTTCTTTGTTTTCCCAATTCTGGCCTTCTGAGTTTGTGCGTTAATTAAAACTCAGTATAAACAGGCCTTGTCCGTGATTATGCTAAACCACTGCCTGGGCCTTCTTGAAAAATTGTCATGTTTCATCGTTTGAATGCTTGCCAAGTGCTAGAGGTGCGGAGTTTGGGGTTACCTGGGACGACTTTATAACTGTCAGACATTCCACTGATGGATACATATTTTGGGGAAGCAGAGAGGGGTGTGTGTTTGGGCAACAGGAGCAGGAAGAATTACAGTATGAGGATTATAAAATCTGAATTCCAGGAATAACCTGTTTGACAGGTGTGTAGTTGAAACAAGTGAGGGAGGGCAAGAGTGAAGAGGATGTCCAGATTTCACACCCACCCCAGGTCTTTATCTCTTTTTCAACACCTGTCCCCCCCACCCCCACCCCCACCCCCACCCCCAACAGATCTGGAGACTGTGAGTGTCCTGAGTAGCTGACATGTGATGTGACTAACAGTGCTGTTCATTTTATCCAGTGCACATTCTAGAGATTATGAAAAAGCTGTAGGTAATGGAGACGCTGGCCTTAAAAATTTGAAACTGAATGTTAAATTCTCCCCATCCTGATTTCTTATTCTGAAACGTTTCTGAAAGTTCTCTGCGCTGGGGAGGGTACAAGGTTGGGATAGAAAAAAAACCCCCAAAAAACCACACCACCTTCTGAAGCAGGGCTTTGTGGTTCTCTGAGGATTGTCACTGGCTCGTTGAAATGGAGGTGGGGGGGCGGGTTGGAAGCCGACTGTAGACATTTTCTTAGGCCGCATTAAGTGTTTCATTGTCTCACTGTCTCTTTTCTGCTTTATGAATACCGTTTATCTATCACCTAAAACTGAGCCAGCCCCAACTCCCCCTGGCTTGGGCTGTGTACGGGTCTGAGGTCTGAATTGGAGTCAGTTTTCTTAGGTCATCTCAAGTGAATTAGCATGTGTTTTGTTGGTTAACTGTTGGGGCTGGGGCCAGATTTTTGAATTTGAAAGGGAGTCCTGTTAACTCAGCCTGCTGGGCTCAACTGAATTTGGAAGCTTTTGGAAAAATCTTGGAAGAGATTGTGTTGGAACTCACTGAGTGGCCTGGTAACTGGCTTAAAGATACTCTCCCTAGTCCCAGTGTTTGTTTAAGCATCAGTTGGATTTTTTCTAACCTAGTTTTTCTGGCCAAATCTAAGTGGTGAGTGTACTCTTCCAAGTGAGTTAGCCAGAGCTTGTTTTTGACCTCCTTACACAGCAGCTGAATTGTTTGTGCCTTCTTCGGACAGCATGGCTGTGCGGGGCAGTGAAGTAAGCTGGAAGCCAACAGTGCATTTTTAAAACCCTAAGAAAAAGGAAGAATGAAACCTGAATATGTCTGTATTGGTTTTAAGAGGTGAGAGTTCTTTATGGTGACACTTGGGCAGGTTCATTGTTTTCACCCCCTCCTCATTTCCTCTTGGGTTCCATCCCCTCTTTCTCCCAAGCTTTCGAAATAGATTTGATGAGCCCTGCATTTGGGAAGTATTTGGGCAACTGGCAGTGACACAGCTCTCGACTACAAAGTATGTACAGTGGAGGAGAGATTCTCAAATTATGCAAACCTAAGGAATTGAGAAATCTGTGCAGAAGTGGCAGACAATCATGAACAGAGCCTGAGATTTTGCTCACCAGCAGTTCTACCCTTAATTATGGAAAATTTCACATACACACTGGTAGAGAGTAGATGATCAGCTTAACAGTTACCAGCCCATGACTGGTCGGGGTTCATCTGTGGTCTTCTTCCCCTCCATTATCTTATCATAAAGCTTGGATATTTTACCCATAAATACTTGAGTATGCATCTTTTTTTTTGTAGAGAATCATAGTGCCATTCTCACTGGTACTATGATTCTGATATTCCTAAGTATCCAATATTTAGTCTTAACATTTTCCTGATTGTTTCACATGTTTTCTTACTATAGTAAGAATTCTTAATCAATACTGGGAAGTTTAGTCTTATGGATGGTGGAAATAGCAGAAATAATTAACATCTTCATTTTCTTGTCCCTTAAATGTATGACTTGTAGGCCCATATGGTTTATGCATAGGAGCTCATCTAGGATTTTTGTTGACATGATTTGTGTAGGGTGGTTTTGGGATTAGATTATTAATGCTAGCATTTGTGTATTGCTGCTAAGCATTAATAGCATCAGTGTTTGGAAAATATTTGTTATAAGAAAGCTTTTTTTAAAAACATACTTAGGTGAAACACGTATATGCTGAACAACCAGTAGTCCTAATTTATTTCGTTGGTATATTTTCTGTTTTTCATGTTTCTTATAAGCTCCTCACTTCTTAGTGATAGTGGTTGCTTATTTTGAGAAGACTATAGTTATGTGAAGTGAATGAATAGAAAGATGGAGTTTTTTTCCAAGTTTTGGTATGTTCTATGAAATTGGTTTTTTGGGAGATAGTTCATAATTTCTTCTATCTGACAAAAATGGTTAATAGTCTGTAGTTGAACAGTATATAACTTGATTTTTAAAAGAGGAGTTGAAATAGAAGGTATGCTCTATTTAGAGAAATTTATTTTCTGCCTTAGAGTTCTGAGGAATCATCTAATTTATGAGGGAAGGATACTCATAAATTAAAACTTAAGAAAATGTTGTGAGTGCTCGCTTCGGCAGCACATATACTAAAATTGGAATGATACAGAGAAGAGTAACATGGCCCCTGCTCAAGGATGACACGCAAAGTCGTGAAGCATTCCATATAAAAAAAAAACATTGTGAAAGTCTGTTGACAAGGTTTCATGCCTATGAAAGAAGTGTTTGTAGGATGATCATGTGCATGTTGAGTAAATGTAGTTCATGTTAATTATTTTCATCAGATCAAAACCGGAAGTAATCAAAGTTTGTATTGGATTTTATTACTTTTAATATTTATTTGACCCTTTTGTTTTAGTCCTGGGGTAACTTACTTTGTATTTTGTGGGCACGCAGTGGCTAGGGTTCCACGTGTCTTGAGTAGGAGAGGAAAGTCCTGTGTCTGGAAAGTTCTGTAGGGAGTGAGAGCAGAAGTTAGGGAGTTTAGAATTCACCAGGTGCAGTGTCTGGAGGCAGGGCTTACTCTCAGGAGGGACTGCAGCCTTACAGAGGACTGAGCATCTTTGCCCCTGTCTGGCCATGTCCTTGGGGGAAAGGTGGCAGCAGACCTCGCTGGCTGAGGAGAAGAGTAGGCCCGAAGGTGGCGAGCAGAACGAGCATGAGAGTTTGCCCCCAGTGGGGAACTGTGCTGTGCTGTCCCCTCATTGAAGAAAGGCAGGTTGGCGGTGTGTGTAGTGAAGGTCTGGTGGTGGCTGATGGGAATGGCATGAGCCTTAGGGAATAGTGGGCATCTCTGGGGAGGTTATTTGAGGGGGGCCATCACTCCGAGCACTGAGGAGGCATTGAAAATTTTGTTTGGATTGGAAATCACTGGGATTAGGAGGCTTGATCATGTTTTGGGAGGGAGTAGGTAAGGTGCTTGGCCTAGGGCAATGGTCCAGAATAGAGGGGGTGTGGCCGAGACAGGGTAGTGGCAGGGGAGGTAGAGAGGACGAGGGTTGGGGTGGATTCTCCGGCATTCCCCCTGGCTCGGGTTTATAAAGTCATTCATTCTCTGCAGGGCTTTAGTGTGACCCTTTACATGGGTACACAGCCCACTGGATTAGGAGGAGCCTTGGTATAGTAATGGCGGTAAATTACTTAAGATTGCTGGGCAATGAAGTGCCAGATAAATTGTGTAGCTTTTAAAAATCATTAGGCTAATATTTTGGAGTAAACAGTTAAACTTTTGTGAGGGTTCTCTAAATGTTATCTTGTAAGTGTAGCATCTCTAAATCTCTTAATTAGAGGTAAAGGCATCCAATGGGGCAGAATGAATTTTGTAGAACTACTGTGGATGTTTTCGTTAGGAGGGTTGCTCTGCCACTGAGTGGCATGTACAGACTTGTTTTGAGACATTGAGTTCCTTCTTGCTAGAAGGATTCTGGGCTTGGACTGGGTGAGAGGAAGCCAGCACTGTTGTGGAACATGGATCGGTGTGTAGCTCTCAAAAAACATCGACCCCAAACTTCCAAAAACTATTTTTGTACTAAATGAAATCAAGAACATCAGAAGGCTTACAGAAAATCCAGCACCAGATAAAAAAAGCCTTGCTGCTGATGGTTTGGTAATTCCTTATTGCTTGAAACTTTGGAATAAACAAATGTTAATTTGCATAGCCACAAACTTGTATTTTTGCCTTTTGTCTTAACCAATTTTGAATATATATATATAGTGACATAATCAAAAGATGATATCTGGGGTCACCTTTTGTGCAGTGTGTGTGTGTGTGTATAGATTTTTGTGGACTGATCCTGAGAGAGCAGAGAGGTTTTTGAAATAATGTATCCTACTTTTGAAATAATGCATCCCTGAACAGATGTGCTAAGCCAAGGAATAATCATCTAAGAAGTTTGATTCCCAGAGAACTAAAAATATTATAAACTAAGTATATTTTAACTTAGAGATGGATGCTTTGGTGCATGAATTTCACGCATGGTCCTTTGTGTCTTTGCTTTTTTAGTAAATTCACCACCTGGTTGTGAACAGTTGCTAGAGCATCAGGTGATTCCCATCTCACAGTTGTATTATTTATGATGTCTGTGCTGCTGAATCATTAGTATCAGTGCTTTCATTTTAG